GTATCATAAAATTCATGTTATGATAACTTATTATTTGACACTTTGGGCGCCAAAATTGCGCATGGTAAAATCTATTTCATCAACGAACAGGGCAAAGTTCGTTGATAAGAAAATGGATTCCAATAGTCTTTGTGCATCAATCAACTTTTGTACATATTTAAAAAAGTTTTAAAATAGAACAATTTATAAATTGTGAAAGGATTTAAATTAATCGTCGTACACTTCTTGTAGTTTTGAAATGCAAGAAGTACATAACAGCATTCATATATTTTCTTTAAAAGTTTAAATTTGACGATACGTAATTTATTTGACATATAAGGTAGTGAGTTGAGAAAAGGTTTGTTCGTTTACTAAATAATTTGTTCTCTTATGTCCAGTAAAAGTTTCTTACAAGGAAAATTAACCCAATAAATATTTTCTAGTACCATCAGCTGATATTATATGCCAGCTGTTTTGAACAAATGTGACAAAATTTAAAATTTCAATGCAAAAATGTGGTTATTATAATTTGTTCGATATTCAAACTCTTTATAAATTCGAAACGAAATGCCAAATTTAAATGGCATCATGTATATTTTTTTTTTTTTGACAAACAAAGTTACCTATTTAAAAGCTGAAAATCTACCTATTTAAAGAGCTGAAAAATATGAAACGTGTCTTGAAAGTTGCATAGCTCTCAGCTTTTGAAATGAAGTTACATATACATTCAATAACGAAATATTATTAAAATTGGAATTTCGCATTAAAAATATAAAAAAAATAAATAATTAAAAAAAAATCCTATCAAAATGTCATATATGAATGACTGTTTTGAATGATTTGTTGTTGTTGTTAGTTTTTAGTTTGATCTTAAGTAGTAGTAATACGTATCTTCTCATATATAATTTTGTTTTAGCTTAAAAGAATTGTGTTTTTTTGTTTGTTTGTTTATTTATGTATAGTATGTTGTATTTTTTTTATTTTTTTTGAAGAGTTTACTTTTGTGTTGTGAATTATTATTATTATAATTTTGTTATTTGTTGAGTTATTAGTTTTTTGCTGTTATGTTTTATTTTTCGTTATTATTTTGTTGATGTAAATTATTGCTTTCATATAATTCATTTCTGTTTTTTTTTTTTGGTTTGGTTTTGTTTATTAAATTGTTTATTTTAAATTATACTGATGTCTTTTTTTGTGGGTATTATTTATTTGGTTGTTTGTTTGTTATTAATTTGTTAAATGCCTATGTTCTTTTGTTTATGGGTTTTTTAATGTTTCTTTTTGAAATGTATCTATTTTTTGTTATTAAATTTAGCTTTTTGAAATGTGTTTTTTTAAATGTCCTTCTCTTATATACCTATTGTGTGTGTCTGTCTGTTCTTTTGTACATTTTTCTTTGAATTTTGACTAAATTTTTACTCTTGTATTGCTCTTTATATAGATATATCTTTAAGAATCAAAGATCTCGAAACTCTTCATTGTTGCTTTTTTCAAACCTAGCATTTTTTTAATTTTGAAGTTTAGAGAGCAATTATCCTTTTTTTGTTTTGTTACTCTTCTTTGTAGATGTTTAGATGCCAGAGTTTTAGATATTTTTGGTTTTGAAAGGAAGAGATAGAGACAGAGTCATAGTGGAGAAAGTGACACATTCTTTAATTTTTTGTATTGTTTTTTGTTTGCTGTTGTTTTTGAGAAAGACTAGAAGAAATAAAAAACAAAAATGATTTAAGTAAAGCTTTAAGTCGTAATTGTTGTTTTGTTGGTTGGTTGATTGATTAATGATTTTTTTGTTTTTATAAATATTTTTTTTCAGTTTTTGAGTATTATATAATTCGTTTTTAGCTTATTTTTGTTGGAGTTTTATCTTTGGTTTGAACTTATAAAGCTAAGATTATATAAGTTTTTTTATATATATAAGAGAAATATATAGAGAGATAGAAAGTTAGAGAATAGTTATTGTAGAGAGAGATATTGAAAAAAATAACAAAGCAACTTAAATATTAAAATTTTGCTTTTAAGTTTTAATATAAAGATTAATTTGTTTTTTGTCTTTAATTTTTTTATAAGGTTAAATTTTAGTTGATCAAACTTTGCGTTAGATTGAAAATAAAATAAAAAAATTAATTATTAAAAAATAAATTTTTTCATTACATTTATCATCAATAATGAAACATATAATTTAAATAAAAATAAAAAGATGTAAGTAATTGTATATAAAAAAGTTAAACTGCTTTAAAAAAAACTCAATTCAAGTACTATTAAAATAAAATTGGACACTGTAGATAAATGATCAAGCTATCTGGCAATGCCAAAATATGTTGAAATTCAAAGAAATTAATACTGGATTTTTAAAAGAACATCAGGGAGAAAGAGAGGGAGAGAGACAACTTTGTTTCAGCGACTTATTTACATCAATTACAGACCGACTAAGGGTACGTTTAGACTACTAAATCCACTCGATATCACATGTCAATTCCATACCAACAACAACCTTTGTTTTTGTCTGGATTATCTGTCAAATTTGTCCATATAGTATTTCAAATTGTTGGCAACACTGCACATCGAATTCAAGTAGAAATTACCTTAATCATGGTCATACATCCTGTGGATTATATTTGTGGTATATGCTATGGAATTGACATTTAAGATCGAGTGGATTTCGTAAATATAAATGTACCTTTATAGTATACCCAGGTGGTGGACAATCAGTTAAGGCTGAAGTTCATGCGATGGTTTTATCACTCTCTTTCAAGGTTTAGCATCTATAATCGAGGGTACCGCTACAAGCATGCATCCAACAGCCAAAACTGGTTCAGAGTTTATAAACTTGTGGGGAAGAGTAATCTCTACCCAAACATTCGAGGCAGTGACTCCAATTCCGAGTCTGATTACGATATATATTAAAACCAAAATAACCGTCTTAGAATGCTGAGTAAAGATGCGAATAAGATGATGGAAAAAGTAGGCACAATGTCGGAAACATTTTTTACACATGTGGTTGTTTCGCCATCTTAGTTGAAGACGTCGCTAAAAGCCCACAGAAAAATTTGGATATGGATTTTAAGGACCCCTAAACTTACAAGAGAGTCAGGGACTCAAACTCCGAGTCTGAACACAGCCATTGTTTCAGTTTGACTGTTTTTCTCAAGTTTAATGTATAAAAAGTTTTCATAATAAAAAGATAATTCACAATAATGAATTTACAGGAGAACAGCTGATTTTGACAGCTAACTTAGGAACAGCTGATTTTCCTTCAAAATACCAAAAAGTCTTAAATATTTAGTTCAGGTTCGTGTTAATTGAATTGAACGATTCTCCTATGTCCTATTAATAAAGACGCCCAGAAAGCAATTAATATCGGAAAAAAATGTTGTTTCTCAAGTTAAATCTCAAATTCACAATAATGCATTTTGACAGCAAACTTGAGAAGAATCTGGTTTTCCTGGCTGATCTTATTAATACACTATGGGGTAGACAAAGTTCCACATATGCTACTACGATATCAAGACATGTTAATGAAATCGTCCGGGAAGATCAGCTGATTCTTGTTATGAAAACATAAATGAAGTCAAGATCTGGTCATACAGCATGCGAAATTCAGCTGTTTTTTTCTCAATTCAAATGTAAAAAATTGTGACTTTCCCTACGTTTTCATAATGGAAGTCAATTCACAATAATGAATTTTGACAGTATATTAATGAAATCATCCACGATGATTAGCTGCTTCTCATATGAAAACTTGAATGTCCAAGTCCAAGTTTTTGGCATTAAACAGCTTTTATAGCTTTCTGACATGATCTACTAATAAGGTCACCCAGCAAGCTAAAGACAAATATCAAAACGTTTACGTTTTCATAATTCAACAATTCACAATAATGAATTTTGACACCAAACTTGAGAAGCAGCTGATATCCAGCTGTTCTCCCTGGATGGCCTTATTAATAGGCCTTGCCATATTTGACGTCAAAATCTATTAATGTGAATCGACATATTATTATGAAAACGTAAATAAAGTCAATTTTGTGGCATTAAACTGCTGGCCTAGCTTTATGCCCACTTTTTAACAGATTTTGTATGATATATTTAAAGTGAATAGAGTATAGGAGAAGAGTATGGAAAAATAATTAAAACGCACATATATTTTTTTTTTTTTGAATCCTAAAATCTTGATAACTAAATTAAAAAAATCTTCAGTTCTATTTCAAAACTCAAAATTCCCAAGGAAAAAAAATAAAATATAAAGCCATAATAGATTTGATAAGAATTGTTTAAATAAAAATCAATAATATAAACAATTATAACAATTTCTCTGCATTATTATTTTTTTTTTTGGTAATTTTTTTCTTGAATTTTTGTGTGTTGGTTTTTGTAATGAGCACTTTAGCGTTGTAAATAACGCATTTTTCTTATATACTTTTTTGGTTGCTGTTATTTATTTATTATTTTTTGTTCTGTCATATTTAATTAATATATCATTAAATAATTTCTTTTATCTAAATGGTTGTTGTTCTTCTTATTTTCAATTTTGTTGTTGTTGTTTTTTTTTGTTGCTAAAGTACAATACATTCTTTCCGATTTTATGTTGTTAAAGGGGGAATATTTTGGTTATTCGGTTTTTTTTTGCTTGTTACGAATTCGTCGTTATCCTTCTTATATATTGGATTTCATATTTAACTAAGATTTTGTTTTCGGTTTTTTATTTTTATTTATTTATTATTTTTTAATAAATTTCCTTAATAAACTTACTTAAAAATTATTAACAATTTTTCTTATAATATGTTCTGTTTCATGTTTAGTTTCTTAATTTTGTTTTGTTCTTATATATCTTGTGTTTTTTGTTTTGTTTTTAATTTTGTATATAAAGTTGTTGTTGTTGCTTGGTTATTTTTTGTTTGTTTTTGGTTGTAGTTTATTTCTATATTTTCTTGGAATTCTTCCGTTCTGTGTTTTTCTTTGGGTTGTGGTTATTTGGTTGGTTGGTTTTCTTCTTCGTCGGCGTCGTCGTCAGCGACTTCCTTTTGACATTTTACACTGGACATGTTATTACATCGTATTCAAACATTAACGAAACGGCAACAAAAACAAAATATAACAAAAACATTGTAAAACCTAAACCTTTGTTCATGCGCCAACGGAAGCAGGCAATTGACATAACGACAAACAGCAACATCATAAACAATATCGTTATGGAACACACCATGCCCACCGAGTTCACCTCAACGGGTGCGTCATATATAATGCCATAGAGTAGCCAAGGAATAGGTAAACTGGAAGTAAAGAAAGAGAAGGAAAGACGAAAAATAATTATTTATATTATATCAAATTTTATTTTTGTTTGCAAAATATTTTAAACATTGAGGGTCATTTATAAATAAAGCCTGATATATCTTAATATTTTTAAGAAGAAGAACGAACATAAATATTACCAATAGGCCACCGGAATTATTCTTGAAATCGATGTAAAACGGTTAAATTTTTTTTTCAAAAATTAGAAAATTTGATCGGATTATAGTTAACAAATATTTTTTTAAATTCCAAAACGAGGAGATGCAAGTTTGAAAACGGTTCCGGAGAATGTTAGTGTCATTATGAAGATCCCAGCACTAAAATCTACCAAGGAAGTGCGAATTTCTTGCGAACTTCAATTGCACCAAAAGTCATGGAATCCTCTATGAGGACCAAACTAGCACTCAGCACCTGTCTTCAAAAATACGGACGAGAAAAATTCGATCGCATTTTACTCCCAAAAAATAAATTCGTATCAAAGCAATTATTCTATGACAGAAAATTACTTACCACCTTTGCTGACAATGAAAAGAGGATATCCCCTATGAAGATTTCCGTTCAGCCAGCAGAAGAATAAATAGTCGCAGAAACTCCACAAAATTGAATTTTTATCATACAAAATGTAATAATATTGGTCTAGGAGAATGTAAGGCTTAAAGGCATCATCTCTAGACACCCTTTCTATTATGGACTTTATTTATGAACATTGGATGACCTAGTAAGTGATGGGAATTTTTAATTTCACTGTGTTATAAATGAAGAAGTTCTAAATAGCTTCAAAGAAGCTACGTAGAACGGCATTGGTACCGATGTAATTGACCTCAGGTTTGCACGAATACTTATCCCTCGAATACTTATCCTACATAACTTCGTCGTTTTCTTCATTCTTCGACTACTTCTACCAATCTACTTCTATCCAATCGTTTACACTGGAACTCTGATATCTAAACCTATGGTAGTTGTTGAGAAGTTTACTGAATATATGGTAGATCGCGTCTGACTTTATTAAAAATATAAATTCACTTAAGTGCTAGACTGTTATAGAAATCTTATTCTGTGCACTTGTCACTAGAACTACTTACTTGTCCTTTGCTGAGTGCATTATTAGTTGGGTATTGCCTTTATTATTGATGCACTCCAGCAACGCAAATAAGCATTATCACTTACACCCACTTATCTATGGAAGTATATTTATGTTAGACACTTAAATATTTTATGATCTACACTGTGTAAATTGTGTTCATATTTTTATGAACAGTAGTAAAAAAGGAAGTCCCACAAGGATATAGGTCCGCTCTACTTCTCCTTATTCGCGAACGATCAGATGATGTGCAAGTATTTTCGAGTAGCCTCATAAGGCTGACGTCAGAGTGCGCGCGAGAAGCGATGCTATGATATGCCGCTAGTCGACGCTATAAACGTCTGTGTGTGTTTTCTTATGGCTACCGCAAAATCTGTCAGAGTGGAGCAATGCTTCAAGCGAGACGAAACGAATGGAAGCGATAAAGCGTGTTGTGCAACGGTTTATAGCAAGAACTCGCTTTGTTTTGAGTTTCTTTGTTTATTATTTTAATTTACCGGAAAAAAGGGAAATCGATGCAAAAACAATTGTTAATTTCGTGAATTTTCTTTTAAAAATTACGATGCAAATATTTTGGGAATGAAAAATGTTTCGTCTGAATCCTTCTTGAGTCAATAAACACCAGTTTACACTGAAATAGGCGATGTAAACAAACAATGATCTCGCCCCTTTATGCGAGTGGGCTAAATTGAATGACCTGTTGTTGAATCCGCTTAAATCAAAATGCTTAATTTTCATGAAAACAAAATCACTACAACATATTGATGTGTGATTATATTTGTAATACTGTTCTGTCATTTATAAGACTATTCTCTTGATTTACTGGAAAAATATAAAATGAATATGTAAATAGAAATAAAAGTTTCTACTCATGCGTCGAACTTTTGAAATTTACGATTATAAACGAAGAAAGGTCAAAACATTATTTAAAAATCCGAAAAAATTCACGTAGATGTGCCTGGCAGATATTATTTAAATATCCCTTTTTTATAATTCCCTTTTAAAAAGTGGAATATTCTTATATATGATACAAGTAGACAGGAAGATAATAGTTATATAAATGTTAAAGCACTTCGTGAGCGTTGCAGGAATGGATTCATCCGAAATGAATGATCAAAGTTAATAATTTGACTCCCTGTTTAGATATTATATCCGACTCATGATCGGAGTCCATCAACTTATTGATCTTAAGCTTTCAACATATGCTAAACGAATGAGAGTGTTTTTATTGAAATTTGGTTTTGATTAAGTACAACACATGATCCAATAATAAGGTCGTCCGATAAGGCCAGATGATTTCACCCGAGCTGTCAAAATGCTTTCAATTTTGACTAAATTGTGTAAAAACGTAAACAAAATATTTGACTGTATGGGGGATTTTACTCCAAAATTGTCGATAACGATTGCTTCTGACACGACCTGTTTATTGGATTATGGTACAACACATGAGATTCTTATCTAGTATGAGTTGTATAAAAAGGTATTAATATCAATGATGTAATTTTTGGCACAAATCACATGGAACTGGAAAATGCCCTGACAAACAGCCGAAGATGCAAGGTAATCTTGAAGGACGGTTAAATGCGCATTTTCAACGAATTCCTAATGTAATGGATACTTACAACTAACGTCGCATTTTACAAAAACAAGTTTACGAATTTCAGTCCGAAGTGGTGCCATCTCTAGATAAAGCAGTATCAGAAACTAAGGTAGTTAACCACACAGGTTGAGGTTACTGTGAATAAATCTGTTAAGAAACATGACCCGCATGGAAAATAAAGCCAGCGAACCTAGGAGACTAGAAAATTAATTGTTTGGTCCGTGGAAATATGAATCCAACGAGAAGGCGGAGAAATCCTAAAAAAGCCACGTTGAACAGCTAAATGGATATGGTGTGGTCAATATGAAAATAAAAATTTGGACCAAGGTGGCGACCAGTCCGGACATGAAAATGAGACCGGAGGCCAAAGGTTTGACCTGGAAGCCGAGGATAACAATTGAGAATGGTTCAGCCTGGAATGCAATGTCGACAGACACAGGTGGTGGTGCCGATAATGGAATCTAGTTCGAGACATGCTGACCAAACCGATTATTCGGAAGTTCTAACCGTAAACAGCCAGCTACCAGTAATACGACATTTTCTGAGGCACCGTTTTACATATTTTAAATTTCTTAGCTATATATTTCAAACTAAGAGGCTGTAATTTTGCATTTGTGTATTAGAGAGTGTAATTTTTAATTTTTATCACACAATGTCGGATGAAGAAAGAACATTAAGATTTGGTGAAAAATTAATTGTTTATTTATTAAAGAACAATTTAGAGCAGTTTCTGTTTCGATTTTCTGTTATATAATTGGGTTTCGGTTTCAAAGCCATACACTCATAATGTGTCACCAGTTATAACCTTTTTGAGAACAAATTGATTGCACAACAACCAAATGATTGCACAACAACCAAATGAGGGACGCGACAAGCAGTAGGCTCCATGTCAGATGTGCTTTTCCTTAAGGAAGCGATATTGGTCCTGTTTTATTCAAAATATTTAATAATGATCTAAAAAACATTCCTTTTATGGGGAAACTCTTTATGTTTGCAGACGATTTTGCTCCATTTTAGAACTATAACAATCGCCACACGTATCAAAAAATTGCCCTATTTCTATTTTTATATGGACGGTACCATGGCACAATGAATAGGTAGTCCATTCAGAGCAGCTGATGTCTTCATTAACTGTCAAAGTGCGTAATTTCTACTTGAATTCGATGCAATGCTGCCAACTTTTTGAAATATTATGAGGAAAAATTTGACAGATGGTCGAGACAAAAACAAATGTTTTTGTTTTGATACATCACCTTATTATTGCATCATGGACGGTACATTGATTGAGGAATCGGAATCTGTTGTAGTACGTTTACATTTAACCGGATTTCGTTAACACAATGGGATTCAATTGTCAATTCCTTTGCATGTATGTCAAATAAATCCTCATAAAGTAGGTTAACTCGGTAAATTTCTAATGTATATGCCGTTTTAAATATCAAGGGTTATGATTTAGTAAGAATTTATCTTGGATAACCATATTCAAAACAGTTAATCCATTCAGGAATTTAAATTCCTAACAAGTTTAGGCATAATTATAATACAAGCGCAAAACTATTGATACCATTCCCTAGTTCATTCACATCTAACATATCATTCTACTATTTACGGATACAAGATGACACAGTGTCTTAAACATTTGTAGGTATCAGGTGTTTTTCGAACACATACATTAGATCTATACAGAGATTACGCTAAAAACATTTTGCCACTTACAGGTCTTTATAAATATCAAGTATTTCTATACGTACTTAAATCCCTTCAAGGAATAAGTTCTCAAGTTCTTAATTTTCAAAGAAATGTATATTTGATTGGGAGAATACCAAGACAAGCCGCAAGCTTAAATGTTGTGAGATGTCGTCTTGAAACTACATTACAGCGAATATCTTATTGTGGACCAAATATTAAAGAAAAAAGTCGATCTTGGAAAATGACTTTGCCATTTCCTCAAAGACCAAGAGTCGACTTTTTGACTTTCAATACAAGAAGTCGATTAGTCGAAAGTAGACTTATAATTTCTTTATTTATTTGCATTGTATAATTATTATTTATTGTAAATAATGATAGTTGCCTTTTTAGCCTTATGTTCTAAAATGTAAACCTTTGTAAATAAATAACAAAATCGAACAGCACATTTTGTCCAAAACTAAGTGACATTTAAAAATGGATAATGTTACTAACATATATAACAGACATGTGTACTAACATAACAGTCCTACCTAAATTTCGACTAGCTCGCTCGACATTATTCACCACAAAAGTTAAACACATGTATTTATATGAATGTTATAGTACGTTCA